TTCTGAAGATTCCTCAAACGAAGGATCCGGCATTCAATCGTCACATGCGGAAAAGGCAGCTCAGAATATACCAAAAGAGGTAACAACGAGAATTTTTAAATGTTTATTGCAAAAAAATTGACGATAAATCAAACACAAGGAATTCGAACGAAAAGTCAAAGAGATTATTAGGCTTGCTTTAACTTCGGAACTTCGTAAAGTTCCTTTGAAGCGCGACGAAATTATAAGAAAAGGTAAAAAAAAGGTTTCTTCGAACGACGATTGCATTTAATTTCAGCTGACCATATTTAAATTACAAAGTGCTAAAGGAGCATTCGAGGTCTTTTCCGGTAATACTATCAAAAGCACAGGAAAGATTGCGTGACATATTTGGAATGGATTTAGTGGAATTGCCTGTGAAAGATAAAAGAGTTAATATTGGTTCAAATGCACCACGAAGAAGTAAGTTCTTAAAACGTCATTCCCTTTTATCGAATGTTGAGGCTTATTTTTTAATTACAAAACCAGACGCTCAAGTCAAAGAAAAGTCATCTTCAAATTCGTACATATTGAAAAACATACTTCCCAAAAAACTTCTCGAAACAGATTTAATTAATTGGGACAAAAATAAAGACTTGGAAGTGATGGGTCTACTTACAGTCGTTCTCAGTCTGATCCTTGTGAATGGAAGGGTTTTGTCTGACGGCAGGTATTACTTTCGTTAATGGCACCGATAAAAGACACACCATCTAAACAAAAGCTTCATGTGATTCGACTTTTTAGATCAACTCAATAATTATACTCGTCGTCTCCACCTTCATAACGACGAGAGATTTGATTTAGAAAAACTCATAGCGAATTTCGTTAAGCAAGGATATCTAGTCAAGCAGAAGGTGAGCGTTGTTGAGAATCCTTCACAAACATCCGATAAAGATCCAGTTGAATACCGTTGGGGTCCGAGGGCAAAAATTGAAATGCCAGAATCAAATCTCTGTGATTTTATTAAAGCGGTAAGTGTAATTAATACACTTAGTTTAATTAAAAGGAAAATAACAAATCGTTATTATTCATTCATCTCTAGGTTTATGGAAACGATGCACCACCTGACCTTGAGAAACGTATCGAAAGAGCATCTGGGATCGAGTAGCGAATATTAGCTAATAGTTGCTCAAACTTGTTCTAAGACGTGATAAATTAGGTCATTATATGAAGGGGCGGGTAGTCAGAGAAATCCAATGTAACTGCACAATGGATAATTGGTTTATTATTTGGTAATTCGCTTTCATTATGCGAATTCCA